GTTTTCCATTTGCTTGGTAGATCTTCCTCCATCCCTTTATTTTGAGTCTGTGTGTGTCTCTGTATGTGAGATGGGTCTCCTGAATACAGCAAACTGATGGGTCTTGACTCTTTAACCAATTTGCCAGTCTGTGTCTTTTAATTGGACCATTTAGTCCATTTACATTTAAGATTAATATTGTTATGTGTGAACTTGATCCTGTCATTATGATATTAGCTGGTTATTTTGCTCATTAGTTGATGCAGTTTCTTCCTAGCATCGATGGTCTTTACATTTTGGCATGTTTGTGCAAAGGCTGGTACCTGTTGTTCCTTTCTATGTTTAGTGCTTCCTTCAGTATCTCTTGTAGGACAGGCCTGGTGGTGACAAAATCTCTCAGCATTTGCTTGTCTGTAAAGGATTTTATTTCTCCTTCACTTATAAAACTTAGTTTGACTGGGTATGAAATTCTGGGTTGAAAATTCTTTTCTTTAAGAATGTTGAATATTGGCCCCCACTCTCTCCTGGCTTAGAGAGTTTCTGCCGAGAGATCTGCTGTTAGTCTAATGGGCTTCCCTTTGTGCATAACTGGACCTTTCTCTGTGGCTGCCCTTAACATTTTTTCCTTAATTTCAACTTTGGTGAATCTGACAATTACGTGTCTTGGGGTTGCTCTTCTCAAGGAGTATCTTTGTGGCGTTCTCTGTATTTCCTGAATTTGGATGTTGGCCTGCCTTACTAGGTTGGGGAAGTTCTCCTGGATGATATCCTGTAGAGTGTTTTGCAACTTAGTTCCATTTTCCCCGTCACTTTAAGGCACCCCAATCACACGTAGATTTGGTGTTTTCACATAATCCCATACTTCTTGGAGGCTTTGTTCATTTCTTTTTACTCTTGTATTTGCCACACTTCTCTTCTTGCTTCATTTCATTCATTTGATCTTCAATCGCTGATACTCTTTCTTCCAGTTGATTGAGTTGGTTACTGAAGCTTGTGCATTTGTCACGTAATTCTCGTGTCATGGTTTTCATCTCTATCAGTTCTTTTATGGTCTTCTCTGCATTGATTATTCTAGTTATCCATTCATCCATTCTTTTTTCAAGGTTTTTAGTTTCTTTGTGCTGGTTACGTAGTTCCTCTTTTAACTCTGAGAAGTTTGGTTGACTGAAGCCTTCTTCTCTCAGCTCGTCAAAGTCTTTCTCTGTTCAGCTTTGTTCCATTGCTGGTGACGAGCTGCACTCCTTTGGAGGGGGAGATGCACTCAGATTTTTTGAATTTCCAGCTTTCCTGCACTGCTTTTTCCCCATCTTTGTGGTTTTATCTGCCTTTGGTCTTTGATGATGGTGACGTACTGATGGGGTTTTGGTGTGGGTGTCCTTTCTGTTTGTTAATTTTCCTTCTAACAGTCAGGACCCTCAGCTGTAGGTCTGCTCAAATTTGCTTGAGGTCCACTCCAGACTCTGTTTGCCTGGGTATTAGCAGCGGAGGCTGCAGAAGATAGAATATTGCTGAACAATATTGTTGCTGTCTGATTTTTTCTCTGGAAGCTTCATCTCAGGGGTGTACCCCACTGTGTGAGGTGTGAGATGTCAGTCTGCACGTAGTGGGGAATGTCTCCCAGTTAAGCTACTCAGGGGTCAGGGACCCACTTGAGCAGGCAGTCTGTCCATTCTCAGATCTCAACCTCTGTGCTGGGAAATCCACTGCTCTCTTCAAAACTATCAGACAGGGGCATTTACCTCTGCCGAGGTTTCTGCTGCTTTTTGTTTAGCTATGCCCTGTCCCCAGAGGAGGAGTCTACAGAAGCAGGCCAGCCTCCTTGAGCTGCAGTGGGCTCCACCCAGTTCGAGCTTCCCGGCAACTTTTACCCACTTAAGCCTCAGCAATGGTGGGCGCCCCTCCCCCAGCCTCATTGCTGCCTTGCAGTTAGATCTCAGACTGCTGTGCTAGCAATGAGGGAGGCTCCATGGGCGTGGGATCCTCTAGGCCAGGTGTGAGATATAGTCTACTGGTGTGCCGTTTGCTAAGACCCTTGGTAAAGCGCAGTATTAGGGTGGGAGTTACCTGATTTTCCAGGTGTTGTGTGTCTCAGTTTCCCTTGGCTAGGAAAAGGGATTCCCTTCCCCCTTGTGCTTCCCAGGTGAGGCAATGCCTCGCCCTCCTTCAGCTCTTGCTGGTCGGGCTGCACCAGCTGACCAGCACCGATTGTCTGGCACTCCCCAGTGAGATGAACCCAGTACCTCAGTTGAAAATGCAGAAATCACCCATCTTCTGTGTCACTCACGCTGGGAGCTGGAGGCTGGAGCTGTTCGTATTCAGCCATCTTAGGTGTGCCCTCTCTCATTTCCTCTTTAAAACTTTCTTTGATGCCATAGGTTAGTCCTATGGCATTCATGTAAAACTCATATTCATTTAGCAATATTTCCTAAGTGTCTCTTGTGGTGTTAGGGAACTCTGCTAGTGCTACATAAGGGCGCTTTAGAGAACTGACCCTACTTTTGCTTGTTTGCTTCTATTAGTAGTCTCATACTTTTGAATTTTACAGATATTTAACACTTAAAAAATGAAAACTAACAAAAATTTGCCAATTTTTCTCTTCTAAGTAAAAGCATAATAAATAATTGCCACAATTCTTTTACAAAAGAAAGGGCATTTTGATTACCAAATACATAATCTCAAGATTTTGAAAAAAAGTAATAAATTAGGCTTTGTGGAAAACTTCATGGAGGATTTCTGTGTAAATTAGGGAACAGGCATTGGGGAATCCATTGATTTATACATATTTTTACCCGAATTGGATAGTTGTTAGATGCTATTTCTTATTCAATTGTGCATCTCTAGTGCAGTGCCCAGTGTTTTACAGGAAGTACTCAATTAATATTTATGAATAAGAAAGTGAATCTGCCTCTGAGCAAATACCTCTGAGACCTATGGTAATGCCTACGGTAGGGAGCACCTATGAGAGAACACCAACAGTGGTAAGAAAGTGGTGGAGGGGTGTGTATTTGTATGTTTATGTGTGTGAACTAATATAATTTACTTTAACAGTTTGCCAGGCACCAACCATTCTGATTTTGTAGGGAAATATTAGTGAGACTGTCTTCTAGGGGAACAGGGGAGGAGGCAGGGACAGGATCTAAGATATTGAGACATATCTCATGTGTACTGTAAAAATATTTCATGTGACATCTGAAGTGGATTAAGATTATAGTAAGTATATTTACTATAAATAGATAACATTCATTGAGTACTTATAAAGTGACAGACACTGTTCTAAGCTCTTTGCATTCATTAGGTGACTTAATCATTACAACAACCTATTGAGATAGACTCACTTTCTATTTCCTTCTACAGATGAGAAAACTGAAGCTTGCAGAGGTTAAATGACTTGCCCCCAGTCACACAGTTAGTCAGTGGTAGAGGTAGGTTTCAACTATGGTCTAGTTGTTTTTAGAGCTCACCAAAACTCTGAGGTCCCTTTCTAGCTACCTATTTCTATGATGAACATAGTTTTATATGACTTGGTTTTCATTTTTAATTTTAGAAAATTAAAATGTTTTCTCTTAGGATTTTAAAGCTGTTAGGGCACTCAGTTTTTTCTACTTATTAATAAAAGCTATGTGACCACAAGCAAGTTCCATAACCTCTTTGAACTTCAAGTTCTACATCTCTAAAATGGAGGTGAAAGTCTTTTTCTGTGTGTTTTTGGGAGGATTAATCGGATAGTGTATAAAAATAGCTAGCAAAGGGTCTGGATTATGAAGGGGCTTGAATAAATGTGAATTCACTAGGCCCCATAGGGCCTAGTAACATAAAATGACATTTTTAAGTTAAAATCATATCAAATATTCGTAATAGGATGAGAGCAAAGAGATCATCACTCTGGTGGATAAAGGTGCCTGTATTTACAGAATTCCTTAGAGAGCCACGAGGATTATCTTTGCTGCAGCCCTCATTTTAATTAAGAGCATAGAGATCTGACATTTCAGCATAGGAAGAAGTTTGTATTTGATTTACACCACGGATGCACATTTTCAGCATCCAAACATTCCATTCCTTGGCTAAAGATATAAAGAGCTACTTCAGCAAACCTGATCTTGCAGAATAAATGGAAAATGCTTAATCATTTAAAAAGATATACAAAAGAATGGGAAGATCAAAGCATGAGCATATACCAGTGAGGAAAGCTAACTGGCAGAAAGTCTCTACTATTTGAAAGGCTGACAAATGACTTCAGTTAGACAGGGTAAAAAACCAAAACAATCCATCTATCATTCTTTACATATAAACACATATAGAAATTAAGCACACACATGTACATGTAATCTCATTTTTGATAAAACTATTGTTTATGCAGAAAATTAAGTTGTGGAACAATGTATAAAATATAAACTTATTTCATAAAAATAATGTCAGGCTCCATGTATATCTGAAAATATATACATTTGTAAGAACATGGAGAAGGTATGAAAGGTTTATGTCAGGTTGTCACCTTGGGTACCCCAGGACAGGTCACTCTGGAGGGAGTTTGTGGGAAGTTTTTGTTCCTTAATCATCTTTGTATTCTTTTGCCAAATATAATGACTAGTTAAAGACAAAAAGTTTTTACATTTACATTTCTTTATTATTAATTTACCCATTGAATTCCAGTAACCAAATATATAATATTGGCATGCTACTTCCTTCCTTTTGAACCTCAGCACTATCTTCTCTTCTCAAGTATTAATAATTATCTTACAGTATGGCTGTAAAGCTTAAATGAGATCAGATGTAGAAAGTCTTAATAAATGGCAAAGTGATGTATAAGTGTATCTTACTATTTATTCACAAGTATTTTGTGATTTTGCTGCCTATCAGAGGACAATGATACACTTACAATGCACTTGAGGCAAAACTACAGTAAGGTTGAATGGAACCCAGAAGCTTCAGTTAGCATCCAAAACAACACCTGACATGTTAGGCAAATGTGGTTTATTTCTGGTAATAAGAGCAAATTCAATTAACCAACAGGCATATCTGACCTGGTGTAGTCGTCGTCAACAAGCATGTGCTTTGGAATTGGTGAGTACCTTCCCGGAGAGATGGGTGGCAGGGAGGTTTTATATTCTAAAGTGCCATTGTTGCCAGAGAGTAGATGGTTTTCCATTGGTGGAGAATAAGCTAAAAGGTGGGGGAAAAAGAGAAAAGAAACCTGTTATGTGGGTGATTCAATGTGTCATGCTATACTTCAGAAAAATGTATTAAAAACAGAAAGGCTTTGCTGCATGCCAAGGATTTTCTTGTCCTCCAAGAGGGAGGAGTTGCAGTTTATTTGCATTTAATATATACAAGCACATGGTAACCTTTAGGATAGGAAAGACTTAATGATAGTTAAGTCTGTAATGCCAGTTAGTATAATTTGGAGAAAAGAAGAACAGGAGAAGAAATCCAGCACACATATTTTCAGAACAATGATTAATTTTCTATTGAAATAAAATGTTAGCTTTCTAATTGCAGAGCTCACATTGTTTTCACATAATTAATGTCCAATCATCGAGAACAAAAGCCTCCTAAGGAGCAGATTCTCCTATGAGACTTTCTCCCAAAATATACTCTATTCCCATCCCACAAAGGCCAAGAACTCTGGCCTTTCTTTTTTATTCCTCCTTCCTAATGTTTCTCCCTTTTAGGTGACTGAAAACACCTCCTAACTGGGTCTCTTGCTTCTTTCTCTCTCCTCAAATCCATTTTATATGTTGAGATGAGGTAAACCTTCCTGAAATTCAGCTTGACCACACTATTCTCTTACTTAAATATTCTCCGTTGTTGTTATATATTTAATATAGTATAAACTCACCTCTTTGCCATTCTTGCAAGATCAATCAATTTTAATATCCCCCCAACACATATCCTATTGTCCTCAACAATAGCCTGTGCTTCCTGACATCTGTACCATCTACCTATAATTTGTGTCTCATACCTAACCCATCTCAGATGTTGAAATCTCATTCTGAAGGTACAACTGAAATGCCATCCTATGCAAAAAGATTTTTCTCATGTTCCAAAGACAAATGATATATCTCTTTTCTTTGAGTTCCCAAATAACATTTAACATTTATATTACCTCTCCCATGGCATATACATACCTCTTATTCTGCCAAATATGCTTCTATTTATATATCTGAGTTAGCCTTCCTCCCAGCAAAACTCTTTGAAGGCCATGATTCTGTCTCCTCTGTATCACACATATTACCTTACAATGTGTCTTGAACATACTGAAATTACTTAATACATATTTCTTAGGTTTATTAGGTAGTTTGGTTTTCTCCCTTTTCTCTCTTTGACATTAACCTTATATACCCTCCATGAAGTGGCTCACAGACTATCAGGGCTGATTTTGCAACATTTGTCCACTTTGAAAAGCTCTGAAAGTTAAAACTCTTTCATATTCTAAGGTAAGACTGATCTCAATTTACTGCCAGCTTGAAAACATACATATTTTGGAGGTAAGTTGTTTTAGAATCATCATTAAGAAAAGCAATAGCTAATGCAATGGGCAGGAAACAAAATTATTCCACACTTAACATTTCTCTCAAGAGAAACATGTAAATCTGAGATAAGTGAAACAATTTGCTTGAGACCGTAGTACTAATTAGTGGCCAGTTCTGAAGACGTTCCAAGTTTCCAGTCTCACAAATGGACTTTCAACATTTCAGAATGAGCAAGCTTACTACTGTTGACACAAATGTCCCTTACATTTACATAACAAAGTAAATTGCTTCTAAATCTAGTCTTCAAAGACAGAAACTTAGTTAAGATTCATGTTGACCTATTAAGAAGAGGAGGACACATGAGGCTTAGGCTACAGTGGATTTTTTGAGGACTCCAGCATAGTGTCTCATTAGTTGTTAGTTGTTGCCCCAGAAGTCTCACTTCCAGCTCACCTCTATTGCCATAGTGACTGATAATTTTTTCCAGCTTTCTTGCCAATATAACAAATTCAAGTAAAGTAAAAGCTATGATGACTGTGATTGAGGATCTTGATTTCACCATTCAATTGCAAGATCCCCTTTTTCAGGAAGAATCATAGAGCTACCTCTGGTTTATTTGCCAGTCTTTCTTTTCTAGTCTACTACTGGAGATCTGAAGTTGGAAGAAAGAGTATGATGGCATGAGAGTGATCATGCTTTAGGAGCTTGAGAAATAGCCTTTCAAAATGTGTTGCCCATAGACTACTGTAATCACACTGTCCTCAACATTAAGCCTTTCCATAACAGTGGGCATGCCAACTCATTAGGATATCTCACCTTCAAACAGTAGGTAAGGGCCTGCAAGGCAACATAGGAGTGGAGCTTAGGATACTCCCTCTGAAGTATTTCCAGAAGTTAACCGAGAGGGAAGGTACAAGCAGAACACTTTGTCAATAGTTTTATAGAATTTCAGTTTTGCAAGTCTGGCATGTTATTTGAAGATGACAGTGGTACTTACAGTGAGTAATATCAGGTGGACCATAAGGATCAGTCATATAAATGGTAGTGGGTTTGCCAACTTTTAAATAAACTACCTCTGATGTGTTCTTCAATATTGCTACTGCCTCTTCATGTGTTACTTCTTCTAAACTGTAGTTGTTTACCTGAAAAGGGGAAAAAGATCAACAATAGAGTTAAATCTATGCAGCAGAAGAAAAATATTCAGGCAAGAAGATTCCTGGAATTATCAATTGTGATAATTACTGTCTGGTATCTTTGACAGAACAGATGAATTAAATGCATTAGTCGAAGCAGATAAGTACAATCATTGATGCTATAAAAGAAAGTTGCTTCTGCCTTTTTAAAATGAGGAAGTGATATACTATAATGGAATTCAGAATAGTATTTGTGGAAAGGAAAATAAGGAGTCAAATGCCTTTTTTGTTATGCTACAGTTTCTATGACACAAAAGTAACACATATTCATGGAAGAAAACTTAGAAAAAGAAGAAAATAAAAATCATTCATAATCTCCCTACTTAGATACATTTCCTTAAACAATTTTGACTTTATTATACACATTGTTTTGGAACCTGCTTTTTAAAACTAGAGGGACTAGTTGTTCATAACAGCAATGTAGTTTAACAACATGACTTTCGTTTTCTGCAGAGCATTATGTTGCATGACGACAGTATAATGATCTAACAAGTTTCTTACTAGTGCATGTTTAGTTTGCTCCTAATTTTTTACAACTATAAATAATGTTCTAATAATTCTTTTTCTATATTTGTGCAGAACTCTGATAATTTCTTTGATATAGATTTACCCATACAAGTGAAACTACTGGACCAAACTACTTGAACATTATCAGGGTTTTTGATACCTAGTGTGAAAGTACCTCTTTCCCTCTGGAAAGATGAACCAGTGTACCCTCATACCAGCACTATATGAGAGCCCTCATTTCCCTATAGCTTTGCCAAACCTTGATTTTTTTTCACTTTAAAATCGTTCTTATCAGAATGTCATTGAATGTGAGTCTATTTGGAACACAGGTCTTTTCAGGTGAGCAAGTTCAAGGGTACCCTATTGTCATTGCGTTAACAGAAATGCCTCTTTCTTTATTGCACGGAAAAGCCTATGATACAAATGCAATTCTGACTTCATGGCAGTGCCATTACAGTGGGTCTCTGCACCACAATCACTTCTCTAAAATGATTTTAAGATAATCTCTCTAAAAAGACTTAAACTTTGAGGAAATCAGAATAAACATTAATTCACCAAGTATTTCAAATACCTAGGTTATCCTTATCTGGCTACTATTAAAAAAATTTATTATGTATATTTCAGGTTCACAGCATGATGTTAAGTCACATATATAGATAATAAAATGGTTACTATAGTGAAGCAAATTAACATATCTATCATCACAGTTACAATTTTGTGTGACAAGAGCAGCTAAAATCTACTTATTTCACAGAATTCCTAATATAATACAATTTTATTAACTATAGTCTTTATGTTGCACATTAGACCTCTAGACTTGTTCATCCTACATATCTGCTACTTTTTATCCTTTCACCTATATCTCCCTCTTTCCCACCTCCCCCTATAACCACTGTTTTATCCTCTATATCTATATATTTGACTCTTATTTTTTAAGATTCCACATATAAGAGAGATCACGCAATATTGTTCCTTCTGTTCTGGCTTACTTCATTTAGCATAATGTCCTCCAAGTCTGTCCATATTGTGGTAAATGGCAGGATCTCCCATTTTTTAAGGCTGAATATTTCATTGTGCATATATACCACATTTTCTTTATCCTTTCGTCCACTGACAGACATGTAGGTTGTTGTCATATCTTGGCTATTGTAAATAATGCTGCACTGAACATGGGAGTGCAGATATCTTCACAAGGTGGTGATTTAATCTTCTTTGGGTATATAACAAGACCAGAGATTGCTGGGTCACATGGTAAATCTATTTTTAATTTATGTAGGAGCCTGCATACTGCTTTCCATAATGGCTATACCAGTCTACATCCCAGTCAATAGCGTACAAGTGCTCCTTTTTCTCCACATCCTCACCAACAGTTGTTATTCTCATCTTTTTGATAATAGCCATCCTAACAGCTGTGAAGTGATATCTCATGGCAGTTTAGATTTGCATTTCCTTGATGATTAGTGTTATTAGGCACCTTTTTGTATACCTGTTGGACATTTTTGTATCTTCTTTGGAGAAATAACTATTCGTGTCCTTTGTTCATTTTTAAAATTCTGTTAATTGTTTTTCTACTATTGAGTTGTACCCGTTCTTCATAAATTTTGGTTATTAACCTATCATCAGATATATGGTTTGCGATTTTTCCCCCAATTCGTTTCATTTTGTTGTTTCCTTTGCTTTGTAGAGGATTTTGAGGTTAATGTAGTCCTATTTATTTTTGCTTTTGTAGCCTGAGCTTTTAATGTGATATCCAAAACAACACTGCCAATGCCAAGGTCAAGAAAGCTGTTCCCTTATGTTCTTTTCTAGAAATTTTATGGTTTTAGGTTTTACATTTAGGTGTTTTAGCCAAATTGAGCTGAGTTTTGAATATGGCATTAGAGTCCAATTTCATTCTTTTGCACGTGGAGATTCCATTTTCCCAGTATCATTCGTTGAAAAGACTAGCCTTTCTTCATCATGTTCTTTTATTTACTTTGTCAAAAATTAGTTGACCATATATGTTTGGATTTATTTGGCTACTATTTCTTTAATGACATAATTGTTTAATTACTTTCCAATGGCATAGTGTAAAATTAAATGTGCCAGAAGCATTGGACTGAATTCCTATAGTACATATTATCTATACTATCTAGCACTTTAGCTATACCATATTTCACAGCACTACTATTCATAATCTTTATTATTTTGCTCCATGTTGCTATATAAGTTCCATGTGCTAGTTAATCCTTGGTGATGTAGCCCAGGTTAGGGACTGTGGAACTGGAGAGAAATGAACCTGACTGATGTGTTTGAATGCTGACTGTGAGTTCTCCATTAAGCCATAAGCTTCTCCAGCACCTCTCACATTTCTCTTCTAGATAAGAGACATTCCCTTATTTCTTTTTTCATTTAAGTGGCTGGCATTTGTTTATTCACTGATCAAATGTTTCCTGCATACCTGTTATGTGTTGGACTGTGTGCCTGATAATAGAGATATGGTAAATAATAAAAATGATAATCAATAATCATAGCAAACACTTATATAGCCCATATTACACACCAGGCACTATTTTAAAGTATTTTACATATATTAACACAATCAAACCTTCACAATAACTTATGAGGTAGCTATTATAATTACCTTATTTTACAGATGAGAAAAGTATGTTTCCAAGAGGTTAAGAAACTTTCCCCAAGTCATTGATCTGGTAAGTGTCGGAGGCAGAATTCAAAGCTAGACAGTTTGGCTCCAGAAACCATACTGTTAACCACTCAGTTTTACTACTTCTTCCAGATAGACAAGGTCCTTGCTTTCATAAAACCCACATTCTAATAATACACAATTGTTTGTGGAATGGATGGATAGAAGAATAGACTCATGCAGAGAGGGAGAATATAGAGGAACTTCAGGTATGGAGAACACAGTTGATAATGGCAGCCCTTAATAATACAGAAATAACAAAATGATAATAATAAGAACTAATGTTTATTTAATACCTGCATGTCATATATTTTAGGAGTACTATGTCATATATTTTGAAATGAATCATATAACTTATCACCAGAATAGCTCCAGGAGGTAGATACTATTAATCAGGGAAATTTTACAGATGAGAAAAACTGTTGTTTAAAGAGATTAACTTGCAACAAAGAGGTCACACTACCTCCAATTGTCAAAGCCATCAGTTGGATCACAAGCCTCCTTAAGAGATGAAAATGAGATTATATTTGTATGTTGATTCATTAAAAGCTAGGGCTCATATTACCGGTTCTTTCTCCCTTTAGGAGAACAGAGTTTCTTTCCGAGTTTACATATAAAAGTAGAATAAATTCCAAAGTATTATAAAAGCTTGAGGAATCATTACATTTCCCGCTTAATCCAGTGGTTATAGTATATTGCATCATCCTAATACACTGACCAGTCAAAAAATAAATAAGTAAAATGGAAAGCAGCTAAATATATCTCACTGATCTCACTGTCTCTTCAAAACCTTCTTACACATTTGATTAATCACTTATGTTAGGGCAGTTACCACATGTGCCTAGATAATGACTTATTTTTTATTCTTTTTATTTTTTTGAGATGGAGTTTTGCTCTTATTGCCCAAGCTGGAGTGCAATGGCACGATCACTACAACCTCTGCCTCCCGGGTTCAAGCAATTCTCCTGCCTCAACCTCCTGAGTAGCTGGGATTACAGGCATGAGCCACCACTCCCACCTCATTTTGTATTTTTAGTAGAGACAGGGTTTCACCATGTTGGCCAGGCTGGTCTCAAACTCCTGACCTCAGGTGATCCACCCACCTCGGCCTCCCAAAGTGCTGGGATTACAGGCGTGAGCCACCGTACCTGGCCGATAATGAACATTTACTTGTGATGGTCTGCAGTTTAAAATGTCTATGAAAGTGGTTGTTTTCTCTAAAAAAAAAAAAAAAAAAAAAAAAGGTTGCCTAAGGCAGCTTTTAATATGGTGACTGTGGCCCACAGAAACATCTCTACTGAGAGAACAGAAAAGAAACAGCATCTGGTGCCATAACACAGGAGAAATGAGAAGTCAATAATAATTAAAAATAAAAACCAAAGGCTAGAAACTAACTAGATTAGATTATAAGTGACACTTATAACAGACCAAAGCTCTGTTTCTGACAAGGGCTTATTGTCTCTCTCCCCAGAGTACGGAAAGTACACAGCTCATTAGATTATCAGTGAAAGAGAAATGCGGTCAATGCTTATTAAATTGCACATTTTGCCATTTTTAAGATGGGCAGTGAAATGATCCAGAAAATATTTCCTTCAACAGCATTTTCATAGAGTGACTTTGCTAACAGAGTCTTCAGACCACTAGGAAAATTTTTAGATCATAAAGCAGAAGTTGAGGGAAAGGTAGTGGTGAGAAAAGGGGCAAGAGGATATTGGGGAGAATAATAATAGTAGTTTAAAATAGTGGTAGTTCACTCGGT